TTTTTTTTTTTTTTTTTATAAAGTCATTTTTGATATCGATTGAAATATAAATTTTAATCTAAATCAAAGTTAACAATTAATTTTAATAACGTATTTTATGGAATTCATAACTGTTTTAACTTTTATCAAAATTTACTAAAAAATTGATTTTAATCACCAAATCACAATAAATTTGAATTTTTTTTTCCTTTTTTGCTCTCTTACAAGATCCCAGGACCTTTTAACAAAATATTAACTCTTCAAATTTTTTAAAATTTGTATTTTTTTTTTACAAATTATCATATTTACTACAAATCTTCACTTTCCAATCAAATTTTCAAGTAATTAGAACTTAAATTTGCATTTTCTCCTATCAAACTTTGTATATAGAATGTGTCTGAACTTATTATATCCAATTTGACTTATATTTAACGAATTATGTTTATTTGATTAATTATTAGTATTAAATACTTGTTATATGCTTTTTTCTTTCGATTATTTGAATTGATGTTGGTATGAAATACATTATAAAATTTTTAAACATAAATATGCATTTTCTTGTGATAAACAAAACATTAATAAAATGACTTTTCGAAATCAAATGGATGAAAATGATTAGCAAAATGTTAATGAAAAAATATTTTTTAAATGTAAATTTGCATTGTCTTGAATTAAGTATGAAACATTCAAAAATCAAAAACAACGTATTCGATTTGTATATGGTTTGATTGTGACCCCTTATTCAAAATATCTGTGTCCGCCCCTATTCAAGCTACGGAACTGAATTCATCATCTTAGGTCCAAAATTATTTCTTGTTTGCATAAATTAAATGTATTCAAACTAATTAACAATTCCATTGACCAGAATAATAAACGAGATAAATTAAAAAATGAACACCAAAATTTGAACCACACAAGTGTTTCTAAAGATAAAAAGAAGGCTAATTGGCAGAAAATTTCCCTACCTATTTATTAGACATGCTACGAAAAATCCCATATCTTTTGAAAATAACAGAAAATGTTAATGATTGAAACATTTAGTGGGGAATACCTATGTTGTCCATTTTCTCAATAAAAAATTGTGAAATGACGAATATACCCTCCTATTTAAATCACAAAATCATCTATATATAGTGAAAAATTAGCCACCTAAAAGAATATGTTCTTTTGCCCTAGAAATGACTCAAAACGGTGAAAAATCATAGCCCTGAAATCAAAGAACCAAACCCCAAAACTCCAAGAAAACAGCGATTCAAAAGCACCCTATGAATCACATCCTTTTACTCCTCAAAATCTATTTTCCCTAGCCTCACCTCTCTCTGTAGGCTATGATTTGTCGAGGTTAATACCAAGAACGGATCCAGGATCGGATCACGGACCTGACCAATATGGAAAAAAAAAAAAAAAGTTCTACTAAAAAAAATCCAATGGGCTAAGGGCTAGACCCCCTCCCCCTCCCCCATCCGCCAGTGCTTAATACTACACAACTTATTATTGAGAAAATCTTAAATCCTGAGGTCACGGCAACAGCGATGGTGGTGGTGGTGGTGGTTGAGAAAGGAGGAACATGAAGTGATTTTTGTTTTACGTTTTTTTTTAAATTGAATTTTATTTATTTATTTGGGTCTCACTTGTAATTTTTTGAAAAATTTGGGACTATGATTGCAATTAGTTCTTTATTATTTTTTTTTTCTTTTATTTTAATAGGAGGATATGTTTGTGTTTTCACGACTTTTTATTGAGAAAAATGAACGACAAATGGGTATTTCGTACTGAAGGTTTCAATCAAGGACCTATTCTGCTATTTTCAAAAGGTAAGGATTTTTCGCAGGATGTTAGAAGTTTTCTGACAATTAGTGTAAAATGGATTTAAAAAAGGTTGAACCAAACCGATCATTTTAGTCCGATTCAATTCCTTCATTATATGAGTAGAGTACTTGTTAATGATCAGTTCGTTCTTATTCTCATATGCACTAGATCGAAGCATACCATGTCTTATCGAAAGTCGAATGATGATGTAAAATATATTTATGCATGCCTATTAAACCTAAATCAGCTGGAGAGCATACAAAGAATCAAACAATTAGATAATTATCTTCAAATAAAAAAATTAGACTCTATAAATTTTAGACCCGCCATATGGTTCGCCGCCTTACCCACTGACGGACCAAATGATCGCACGTTTATATTAAAAACGTGGAATTATATACAGTCATACTAGCTAGTCTAGTCAAGCACGTTTCTTGCAAAAAAAAATTCCATGAAAACAAAGAAACAAGGAAAAGGACACGTTTAAGTTCATTTTCAAGAGTTCCTTTTTCTCTAGGCAATTCTTTTGTTCTTTCCTTAAGCCATCGTTGTGAATATAATAATTGCAACATGCAAGGATGGTTAAGACTTCACTTGTAGGGATGCATGGGATATGTATGTACAATTGGAGCAATAAAAATTTTGAATCTTGATTTGATTTTTATGGTCTATGAATGAGTTCTCGAAGCATGTATTAAGGGTCTGTTTGGGTCGGATTAAAATCTAATTTTAATCTAAGTCAAAGTCAAACAATCAATATTAATCACATCTTTCATGAATACCACAACTTTTCAACCACACATTTCAAAATTTTATATCACAGTCCACTGAAAATCTAATTTTAATCTCCACCAAACACCCTCTAAATCAATTTATTTGATGTTTTAAGCTACAATTTTTGATGTATTAATATAAATAAATAAAATATAAGTAGGATCATCTTCTGAACGAATTGAATGAATCTCAATACTATTACATTGATCTCAATTTGTTTTCAATTTATTGCCCCTAGTTTTTGAAAGCAAAACCGAGAATTTCAAATGATATAAAAAAAATGAATACCAAATATTTCCACGTCTCTTGCACCATCAAAACCAGCTCCATTAATGATTAGTGTGACCTAATAAATGTATAGAGTATCAAATATGTTCATAAGATTAAATGTCCCTAGTCAAAGATAAAATCCCACATCAGTAAAATATCAAAATATGGATCAATATGTAAGAGTTTGAATTGTTTCTCTTAAAAAGGTTGACATTTTAAGATGAAATGAACACGTGAATTTCAAGATTAGTCTGCTCAAACAAGCTAACATATTAAAGGATAAATCTCACATTGAGTAAATATTAAAATACGGATCAATATAAAAGGAATTGAGCTACTTCTGTTAAAAAAAGTGACATGTTAAGATGAAACCCATGTTTTAAAAATTCAAACCGAGAGGTCAAGTATGCATAATGATTAAGCTTTATGTAGTAAAAATATCTCTATTATTTCTACCATCCCCAAAGTGGGATTTTTTCTTTCTTTTTTTTCCAAGGTGGGGTTGGGGGGGGGGGGGGGAGGGGGGTAAGTGAATAATGAATCAATTCGCATGAAGTGTGACATTCCGCAGACTTAGATGCTCACACAAAGAGCATTGCTCTGTCAACTCACCAGTTCATTGCACACTCTGACTATGAAAAGTCTGTGGGAGTTGTTGTCAAGAGAAAGTTATCATGTGGAGAAACTCTCTGTGTGGGGCCTTTGCTTTCCTCAATTCTTTTCAGACTACTATAAATCACTTATTGGCTTTGAACTTATCTCATACTTGACCTTAAACACCAAACAGAAAATTCTCCCTTCTTATAATCTCATTTTCCATTCCATCATCATGACTGAAAACAGGATACTAACTAAAAGCATAAACAATTCATATGAAGAGTCATCCATTCAACTAAGGAGAGGGCCATGGACTCTTGAGGAAGATAATCTGCTTATTCATTACATAAGTCGTAATGGTGAAGGCCGTTGGAATTCCTTGGCTAAATGTGCTGGTAAAAAAATTCTATCGTACGCACTTCAAAGTTCTTCATAATTACTTATTTTGTAGTGCTCTTAATTGTGTATTTTTTTTTGGTTTGAAGGGCTTAAGAGAACAGGGAAAAGTTGCAGATTAAGATGGTTGAATTACTTGAAGCCTGACATTAAGCGTGGAAATCTCACCCCACAAGAACAACTTTTGATTCTTGAACTTCATTCCAAGTGGGGGAACAGGTGCATTTTGCACTTTTAGTGTCGTTTTTCTTTCTTAATACTGTCCCTCGCTGTCCAAACAAACGTCAAAATATCTTTAGTACCCTTTTTTTTAGAAGGATTGTTAATTTGTGTCAATTTCTAATAACAGGTGGTCAAAAATTGCCGAGTGTTTACCAGGAAGAACGGATAATGAAATCAAGAACTATTGGAGAACAAGGGTACAAAAACAGGCACGACAACTTAAGGTCGATTCGAATAGCAACAAGTTTCTTGAAACAATTCAACGATTTTGGATGCCAAGATTGCTGGAAAAAATGGAACAAAATTCATCAATAATATCCTCCCCTTCTTCCACCGAGACTCAGATGCCCACGCCCCCTTCACTAGCAACAAAGCCGGGGCCCTTGACGTCACCATGTCCAAAATCGAGCAACCAGGTGACTACTTCTGATCAGTATAGGGAAAAATCAAGCACAAGGTATAGTCTAAACTGGGATTCCTTAAATTCTGTGGGAAATTTAATGCTGCCTGAAATTTCAGAAAATTTTGGCATTCCTGCACAAGTTTGTGACAATATAGTCCATGAACACTCAGTTCAAAATGATTGTTACCATGTGGACCTTACAAGTTATGACATGTCAGCATTGGTGGTAGATGATACTTCTATGTCAGAATTCCAGGTGGCAGAGATTGATTGGTTTAGTGAGGACTTAACATGTACTTCTTGGAATACAGATGAATTATGGGAATTTAGAAAACCAGATCAGGAGCTTGGTGTCTAGACTTGTCAACATTGGCCCTTGTTTTTTTAATTTGGGGCAAAAATTTACTAATCATATGTTTATGAGTCCAATATTTTCGTCTAATTACAATTTGGAACTTTTGGGAGTATATGATAATGCTATAGTTTTATATTGAGTTCTGATAATGAATGAGATCCTGTGTTGAATAAATGTCTTTGCTCTTTATAGGGTTATAATGGTTATTTGTCCAAGTCGGAGAGCAGATGAACGATATAAGAATTAATAATATATGAGAAAACCCCTTCGAGGGTGGTCGAGTTGGTGGAGCAGGTGAACGCGGAGACCAATGGTCACGAGTTCGAATTACCTGTCAACACTTCCTCGGTTGAGCTCGTTGCACCGGGCTTGCCTAGTATGATTTACCTTCCACGTGTGGTTTGCGAGCTACTGCACATGGAGCGAGGTTTACCTAGTGTGCACTCATAGTGGTCGAGTCTCCGCCCCTTCGGGGTGGTCGGGGCTCCACTGGCGAGTAGTGACTGTTGGTTTCTACGTCACCCAAAAAAAAAAAAAGAATATATGAGAACTGTTTAAATCGTACCTTGAGTGTCTTTAGAAGTTGAATATTTATACAAATACTTGTTCTTTCCGTAAAAGAACATGTGCTAGGCATACGATTACGCACTAATCAGTAAAAAACTTTTTCCTATACTTTAGACCTTTTAATAAGTCCATGTTTGATTTCCTTAAAAATCAGCTAATTATCAAAATCGGATACTTTGCAACAAACATTTACAATAAAATATTTGTGTTAAAAGAATCTACATATTGCATGATGTTGATAAATGTACTTGCCTTCTTTAAAGACACTTTTTTACCCTATAACACGAACCGTTACACAATTGTGTCCAATTTGAGTCTCATTGAAAAAAAAAAAAAATTTAACTTCATAATTCAACAAAAGACAAAATAGTCTTCGGAGAAAAAGATTCCATGAATTAATGGGACGGCTACTTCTCAAATTGTCTTTGAAAAACTTAATTAATTGCAAATGGCCCCACCTATCTATAACAAGAATCGATTTTTCTCCCAAAAAATGAATCGTGACCAAACGGGCAAGAAATTTGACACCATCCTAAGCTAAAGCAAAAATGTTGCTTGTACAGGTTCCTTACAGGCAAGACACAATGATGGCCCCACCATTGTTTTTTTTAAAAAATAAGCACGAACCCCACATGTGTGAGGGGCCTGTAAGAAACCTATCAAGCAAGTCCTGTACACGCAGTAGGGCTCAAGCCAACGCCTAAAGCTCATGGGGAGGTGTTGTCAAATCAAGAAACTACATAGAATTGACAAGTTGAAGGATTCATAGGTTAGGCCCCGTTTTACCGGCCAAAATTTTCTATGAAAGATGGAAATTATCTCACATTTCACTTTTTAGGCCATGTTTGATCCATATTATTTTTTTTATTCTCGTTCTTTTACTAATTTTCAACCACACATTTTTCAATAAAATAATATTTTCCATCATATCAATAACTTTTATTTTTTTTCAACCACATATTCTACATCACATCAACAGTAAAAATACATTCTTACCTTCAAAATGTACATCAAACGGGTTGTTTGATAGGAAAAATGTTCTTGACAATTCATTCTATCACTTGGCCTCACGTGACCCTTAATTCCACAAAATTGAGAAATTGAAATTCTCGATTGAGCTAGTTTTTTCTTTTCTTGATAAGGAAGAAATCATTATTTACACTATTCAATTTAAATCATAATTTTTCTTTACGCTACTCAATTTTCGCATTTTCTATTCCCAAAATTCACTTCTTATCGCAAAGTATATTATTTTTCTTTACACTATTCAATTTTAAATTTCAAAGAAACAAATTTTATCCTTTTAATAGACAATTTTCATGGAAAATAAAGTCAAACGAATACCAAAAAATCTAAATTTTCAACATTTTTCAGGTGAAAAATTATATCAATCAAACACAATTAATTGACAATTCCTAGTAAAACAAGTTCTATGCAATTTAATTCCATGAAATTTGTTTTCTTTCTACCTAAATTCCATTCTTGCAATCAAACAGACTCTTAGTGTAGTCCAATCATTTAACTTTAGACATTGTTTGATCCCTAATATTTTTCAAAATATGTTTTTCTTTTTATTCTTTTCAACCATATTCTTCAATAAAATAATATACACACAAACCAAAAACTTTTTTTTCATTTTTAATCACACATTATTAATCAATCTACTATTTCAAAATGTATTCTACAAAAAAATGGGCTCAAACAGACCCTTAGAAACAATTTGAAGAAAGGATGGCAGTAGCAAGTTCTTACAACATGCTGATTATATTTTCAATCATAGTACATGTACATCACGTTTTACATCAAGTTTTATATTGTGAGTTGAAGGATTTTTTTACATTGATTTTATTAATACTTTTTTCAATCAATGGTCAGATTTTCTATGTAGACATGCTGTAGTGTATATTAAGCATAATTCTTATATTTTTAGGAGTTGTCTTCTGCCAACATGCATTGGTATCGTTCCATGTTGAGGAATACTCTTTTTGAGGGTAGGATATGGTATACCATTCTATGTAGCCATTTTTAGCAAATGAAAGTCCATCATGGGATCGTAGTTTTGGAAATTTGAGAATCAAACTTAATGCGATGTTTCCACCTTTAAATTCTATAACGAAGTATAGGGACCATACATATCAATGACGCATTGATCATCACGTAAAAAGGCGAAAAGGATTGAATGAAGAAATATTAATCGCTCACAATTTGAAAATTTCTCGACGAAGGATTGGCAAGTCAAACCGGGTTTCTTGATTCAAGCAGCTAGAGATATGATAATGATGAAAATCGAATTTAACTATCAACTACCCGATCAGAAATAGGTTTCAGGATCGTATAATGTAGATATAAGTTGAGAGGGCTATTGCAGGATATTAAATTATTGGAATAGATTGACATGAAGTTTCAAGTGACCAAGTGGAAGATCAATGTCAATAGAAAAGAGGATGTGAAATTTGAACTACCAACCAACTAAAGAAGTACCACAATATTTCAATACATGGGATAGGTTTGTAGAAATCATATTGACTTGCTTTATGATAAATTCAACATGTAAATGTCATAATTTATTTTTTCCTAACTAATGTCTACGAATCTTCTCTCTCAAAAGACAAATGAAGAAAAAATAAACACAAGAAGAAAAATCAAAGTATTACACAATCAAAAATCATGTACTGGAATTTTTGAGGTTTGGCATTATCAAATCAGCCAAAAAAAATTAAAGAAGTCCCACATTAGCATGTGACCAAAGAGGCTAAGTTTACATGTGAAAATGGAACTTTTGAAAGCAAATCATACTTACCCTTTTTTCGAATTTCGAACAAATCGCTCATTTTCACAATCATCATATCATGCATAAACAAGTCCACAATGAAGGATCTTTAGTTACTTTTCCTTGTTTGACATGAGTTCTCTCACCATTGCTCCTCTAATGGCCCTTTAATCTTATATATTCGATTTTCCTCCAGGAATATATTGGCAGATGGCCCCTCGAAATGAAGGCGGCTCATCATCTCCAATGATCAAGAAAAAGTGTTGGCATATGCTCAGTACAACAACGTCCTCACGATTATAAAACATGGTGACAGATGCAGCAATGTCTTGACAAACTAACAATTTTCTTCACAACGGTGTGTCTCCTTAGTCTTTTTTCTTTAATAATAAACTCATTTTTTATTAGTTTTTCACATAATGGCAAAGTTCCTTTTTTTTTACTCCTTCAAGGGTTGGTTGATTTTTTTTTTTTAAATTAAATACAGAAAATTCGTTTTTCAGTCTTCAAGGTCGAAGGATTTATTGTGTCTAAATATATCGCTTGAGATTGCCTTTGTTCTTGATTCCATTTCCATCTACGTTATATATTATCTAACACTAAATACCAAACGTATAAAAAAGCATAACTAATCGAAAACTCTTTTCTTACTTGTGTGAATTTGTCACATCATGATAAGAATCAATTATAAGAATCATTTTATTAGTCTTCTATACAAGAATTGTAAGATAAATAGCTCCTTGTAGAGAATCAGCTTTACAAATTACAAATGTTCGGTAAGACAGTATATACAATAGCAATCAATTTACCATTGTTATGAATAAGCGAATAACCCGCGCTACCTAGAGCAATTTTCTTTTTCTTTTTTTAATAACCGTGAATGTCCGAACCAGCTTGCGCGCACCTCAAATAATCCCACGAGATCCTGAAGTTTAAGACCGATTACTCACCTCAATGGTCTTGAGGAGATTCGAACTGGTAACTATTGGGGAGCAAACTCAAGCTTAACCAATTGAGCAACCCCTCAAAGTTGCTACCTAGAGCAATTAATAATGCAAACACGGAAAATGAAACCAAGAAGGCAGACAGTATAAGGTGCTTCACTCTCAATGCAAAAGCTTGAGGTGCGGCTGCTGAATTTCTCTATTTCGAATAAGAGAATTACAATATATTTGGACCATGGCTCTCTATTTCCTCTAATGTGATGCATAATGGAGGCTCGTCCTAATATCCTTTACATGGAAATATTATGGGGACCTACTAAATGTGCAAATTTATCAAAGTACCCCTATTAAGTCGAATCACGTACGAGGAAACTGTACATTACATTAGCCTCCACGCAACCAACAATCATCCCTCATAAATGATGCACACAGAAGTGAATTATCAGTATTCTACACAACTTCCCACTGAAGCAAGGATTACATCTACTTGAAAAAGTAAAATTTTAATTTCTTCTCTAATAATCGACTATCAACATATATCCTCATTTCTTAGTTTATCTACTGCAGTATAGTCACGTATCATGTTAACATTTTGTTATAAGAGAATAAATTCAAGATTTAAAACACTATTTCAGACTTAAAACGTGAATATTCCAGTATAAACATACAATGTGATTTAATTCATCAATATATTTGGAGTCACCAAGACTATCAAATTCTAA